ACCACCGTCACTCGCTGACTATTTTCCATTCTGACCACTATCATCTGCAAACTACGGTCCCTCCGACCATCGTCTCTCGTCGACCACTGTCCCTGTGAAACCCCTTAAGTAAAAGAAATCTAACTCTTAAACATCGAGGGGAATTTTGGTGTAATTGCTAGAATTTTTGTAAGAAACTTTGTAGCTAAGCATGCTCATCTCAGAGCAATTCTGGGATAGGTAACCTACTGAAAAGTTACACCAACAGAGAAAAATAGTGAGACTCTTAGGCCAGAGCGGATAATATCTCAAGAGTTAAGAGTTTGAGCTATTATAAATGGTGTCAGAGCAATACACCACTAGAAGATGGGAGCTAAGTGACATACAAGACAAAGTGTTATGCCATGGGAGCCACCTCTTGAACCTTGTATGGGATAAAGTGCTACATGACGAGAACCGCCACTTGAACTTTTAGGGGTCATCTCTAGAGTCATATCTACCTAATGGATGGTTCTGGGATAATGATGCTGATGAGGACGTTAGTTAAAGTGGGGGAGACTATGAAACCCCTTAAGTAAAATAAAGCTAATCTTAAACATCGAGGCACCTTTTGGTGTAATGGCTAAAATTTTTGTAAGAAACTTCACAGTTAAGTGTGCTCATCACAAAGCAATTCTAGGATGTGTAACCTATTGAGAAGTTATAGCAACATGACAAATCCATGAGGCTCTTAAGACAAAGCGGATAATATCTCGATAATTAAGAGTTTTGACTGTTATAGTCCCTCCGACAACTATCATCTGTCGACTACGGTCCTTCCGATCTTGATAGCCCGCCAACCATGGTTCACTACGACTACCTTCACATGCCGACTACGATCCTTCTGACCACCCTCACCCGCCGAACATGATCTATTTTGACCAACATTGCCTGCCGACTATAGTCCATCCGACCACTGTTGCCCATTGCCTATGGTCCATACGACCACCATCGTCCTCCGACTATGGTCCCTTCGAATATTGTTGCCCGTCGACTACAATCTTACTGACCAAACAGACATGTCAACACTCTTTTAAGAATAACTACCATGTAACGATCTCTATATAATGTGTATTTGTTGCATTAAGATAACATATATATTTCTCTGAGGATGGATACTGTTTGTAATCAATCATCAATACTAGTGAAATCATTCAAATTGGATCAAGCCCCTTGATTTTTTCCCTTTTTAGGGGTTTCCAAGTAAATGCTCTAATATCTCTTATGAATGCTACACATATATCTTTGATGTGTTTGTGTGTTGGATCTTCATATAAAATTAAGATGCTGAGCTTTATACTTCTCTACCGCCACGAATTTTCCTGAACACAATAAGTAAAAAGCTATTTTTTACAACAAGAATTATTAAATTATTTTCTTCACAGCAATTTTTTATAATTAACTTCATAAAAGATGCAACTATTGCGAACATACCCTTGATCTCTTATTTTTAATAAATCTATACTTCTACTTCGTATGAAATATATAAAAAAAGTACAAAATTGCTTTATATTTTAGAAAAGTACTATCAAAAGAAGTTGGATGTGTCGACTTTGATCATTAATTGCATGCCAAATTACAGATAAATCATGTGGTCATTGAAAAATAATATATTATATATCCAATAACATTCATAGGAGACTATGCAATTAATGGTATTGACTCTTGGTGAAAGGTTGCTCATCTTGATTTGTTGATTGAAAATTTTGACTACAAATTAAGATGTCTTAAGTTCAAATTTTTATGCGTGATGTGTGTGCGAATTTACCTAAATTGATCCAAATATCTCAAAAAAAAAAAAAAAATCTTGATGAACTAAAAATCTTTTTTTTAAGCTTAAGAATGAGTTGCTCAAATTCCCCGTTTTTTTTTTTTTTTTTTTGTTCCTTTTGGTTTTCTTGTTCTTGATAATTTTGAGTCATTTTTAGAATAAATATAGCCCAAAATGAATTTATCATACTCATTTATGTGTTATACGAGTTTTATCTTACAAATTTAATACATATTGAAACTAACCTAGGGCTAGGGGAATAAATGAGTCTAGTCAAGCTCAAGTCACCACAAATGTGAGCATGGCCTAATTAATTAATTGAATTCGAGTTTTAGCTTAATTCTATAAGTTCAAATCCACTCATGAGTCCGCCCGTTAATAAAGAAAGAGATAAAATGATAATCATTCAAATAATTATTATAGTAGAATTATAAAAATAATGATAAAAGAAGATAAATAATAAAGACTTGATATAAGAAAGTCATATATAATTTTTGAATATTTTTAATAACTTCATATTTAAACTCCTGAATTCTAATAAATTTGAAGTATATTTTTTATTAATATTTTTTAAATAAGTTGGCTCACGAGCCAACGAGTCAGGTCGAGATTGGCTGAAGCTCTGAACGTTAGCAGATTGAGCTTAGCTCACAAGCTATTTATAGAGCTTAGTTTGAGCCAGCTCATTAGTTAGCATGACTCACTTTCACCCCTACCTTAGGCTTCATTTGGAACGACTTTTTTATTACTTCTTAAAAAATTCTGTTTTAAGAAGCAATAAAAAAGTCAACCCAAATAAAGGCTTAGTCTACTTATAACAAATAATCTCTACTATAAATAATGATTTTAAATTTGGATCAAATTTCTGCTCGTCTTGTCTGACATAAAAAAAATCAGACCATTTTTTAATCATTTTTTCTTATTTTTATTTGTGTATTTGAAGAAAGGAAATATATTCTGTAATTTTGTAATCATATTTTATCTTTTCGTGATGATGTATGTGCTTATGTCTTATGATGTTAGAAAAAATTGCCCCTAAAAGGCTAAAATATGATGGCATCAATATTTTGAATAATTCTACATGACCGATTGCTCCTCGTTTTGTTTGCATATTTTATTCAAATTTGGCGTAGTTTTGAAGGCATGGAATTAATCAGGCGTACTTAAATCACAGATGAATGTTAGTTCTTCTACTTATATGAATATGAGTGGTCATGATCAAGTCTGATTAATACTGATTTATTTAGCTGATGAGAACCTGCCATGAATTGAACTTTATTGAAATCTACTCTATCTGCTAGAATTTAGTTGAATCTTAGGTTCCGTTTGAGACCGTTTTTTTACATTTTCGTAAGACAACTTTTTAGTAAAATAATTTAATTTTTGTATCAAAAAATAGCTTCAAGAAACAGTAAAAAGCCGCCCCAAACGGAGCACTAGTCAAATTTACTAAATTTATAGAACTTTGAGACGACAAGATAGAATAAAGATATATAAGTTTTTGTCACAAGCCATAGATGACCTGATAATGTTAGTGCTATAGGCAACCCTACACATGATGGCATATCACTTTCAATAAGACCTCACCTTCTCTGGCATCTCTGCATATGGAATGGGAATTAGGGACAAATGATACAAATCCTAAAATGGATGTGATCATGCACCAATTTGATGCAATTTTTTGATCCACTAGCAAAGTATTTGGGCTAAAATTTTTAGAGATAATTTTGAATTTTTTTTGAATTTATTTTAAGCAAAGTTGTGGTGGAGACAACTTTTCTCAGCACAACACCTAACATCATTTGACTAATTTAAATTTAAGTTTTAGAGCGTCTAAACCAATCATTAAAAGCCTAATTGAAAATTTATTGAACGAATCTAAATAAACAAACAGACTCCTAACTTTGTGTGCTTATACTAAAACTAAACATCTCAATGGAACAAAATTTGATGAGTCTAAGAACGCACAATTATGAATTTATTAAATAGTAAAATTTATAAGGAATGAAATGATTGAGGGGTTTCATTCAGCTCGCCTAATGGTGGCAAAAATTTTGACTAAAAGAAATATGGAACTTAGAGTATTACATAACTATACATATTATTGTGTGATGTTTGATATCGATCGACCATCAACAAACACCAACAACAATCATTTTCGTTATAAGACATTCATTGTTGCTCATTTTTTGAATACTTATTGTCAAATAAAATTGAAACCATCTACTGCTTGACACTAGCACTAATCATCTACCATCATCAACGCCCGTGTCTCTTGTGCCCAAAGTTGACTATGATTGATGTCAATGTAAACCACATGGCACCCACTATTATCCACCACCTAATGTCAATCATCCATTAACTTCAATGCTTGTCATCTCTCATTTCCCAATACAACTAGGTGACATATAATGCACATTGTCAATATCATTTGATATCTCTTTTTTATTTAAAGAATAATCAAGTTTATAGCCAAGCCTCACATAACTTCCAATGTTCCTCATCAACCATCAACCAACACTTTCCAAAGACCAACATTTGATGTCCCACATCCACTGTTGTTTGCCACCATCTTCTTGGTCACCGATCGCCCTTATTAGCATCATGATTAAATTAACCATCAATTTTTTTCCAACTTGTACTAATCTCCACTATTTAATGCTTGCTAACGACTAACCCCTAATTAATACTTAAATTTAAACACTGAAGTGGTATATACATTAATATATAAATTTATATCTCAATATGGGTGAATAAAATTTTAAAAATAAAGATACATGACATTTTCAAGCCATCAACATATAAACCATTTTCAAAACATCATGATATTTTCCCCTAAAAAGGATTAAGCACAAATTATGCTACCAACAATGCAAAAAAAAAAATCAGAACATAGAGTCAAAATGGAAGCCATTTGATGAATTTTTTTCAATCATTATGGAAAATTATAGCTCACCAAGCTCTCCATTATTCAAGGAATCAAGTAATTCATGACCCACTGGAACATTGATAATGACAAATGCATATTTTCACTGCGCAACATCAGTAGAGTTTTTCTTTATCTTAACATTTTGCAAACCATCCTTTTGATCTAGGAATAGTTGTATCATCTAAAAAGTAGAGCAAGACTTCACATCCTTCTCAGTGAAGTAAAATAAATAATCTCTCAGCTCAATAGCCTTATGACAGAGATATTCATGAAGATAGAGGGTGAAAAAGAAATAAAGTTAATAGAATAGTACTGAGTTATATCATATAAATGAGCATTTCAAACCATTAAAGAAGGAAACCATATTGTCATTCATATAAACTGACTATGATTCATTATCTAAATTTGCATGATTTCAATAAAGTGAGCCCCTTTTCCAAAAATGATGAGCTAATTATTAAGTCCAATATATAGTTTCCTTATTCAAAAACTGATATGGAAAATTGCACTATTTAAGCTCAAGGCTTTCCGGGGCTCCTTGGATCATGGCGGCCATTTGCTCCAGATCCAGGATAATCCAAGCTTTCAAAATCCATCCTTCTCTCGATGAGCTCTCCTCCCTCGACAGGCATTTTTCCAATCACATTCTGCTGAAAAAAATAATAATAGTAAAAAGCCTATGTCATGAATAGTTTGAAGCAGGAATTAAAGATAGTACTCTTGAGTCTTGATCACTGATTAGAATTTTGAATTTTCTGATCACATCGCCCAATACAGTTTTCCAACAAACAATTAAGCATTAGCAGTTCATGATGTTAACGGCTAGTTTTTTTTCTGGGCACATGCTACTAGCTAAAACTACATTTTTGAATATTTTATACAGCAAACCCTATTATGTGAAAATCCAAGCTGTAGCACACGAAGCTAGGTGGAGGACTATATTCATTTTCTCCTAGTTGACATTGGGCTGTGGGGCCTATTATAAAAATCTATTTGTCCTAATGCTAGATATGCCCACACCTATGCTTTTTTTTTTTTAGTTTGATTGTGTCAATCAATCGAGTTATATTGTTAACTCAATTTTCAATTCTATTAGGGGAAGCGCAACTCTTGCTGGGGGCACAACCCTGAAAATTTTTCTGGTTCAACGCCAAAGCATTGTGGACCCAACTGAGTCATTTTTTTATTGCATGAGTTGTAATTATATGGAAGTTATGCTCTGATGTATGAAAGAGTGAAGGAAAGATCTATATAATTTCTCCTCATTTTTTATAATTTTTTCTTGATGTAATGTGGTTCTTTTTTTTTTTTCTCGTTTTCAAGTATTTCGCATAATTTTTGGTGTATTTTCTTCTTTGTTTTCATCTTGTTTGTTTCATTTTGTTTACGACTAGCTTGCTTCAAGTAAATGAAAGGGAATTTGTATAAAAATCCTCATTATTTGGCATCAATGTAAAAAAAATACACAAAAAATCTTGAATAGTTAGTGAATAGGTACTGAAAGTTCTAACTTCTTTTATAAATAAGAACATTTAACAATAACAATTACTTAATTCTCTTAAATATCTTATTTTTCTTCCTGTTCCAAGCTATTTGAATCCTCATTTATTCCACTCATTGATGTCAATAAACCGCTTTATAGGGTAGAATCCCACTGGTGATATCATGTTGATATCCTGCTTGAGTGATCCCACTTGTGGGATCTCATTGTCAAAGTTCCAAATGAGTGAGATCCCATTGCATCATCAATATCTCATCAAATGCATACCACTTAACCCCCATTATCATGATTTGTCTAAATCAGGAAAAAAAATCGCTTTTGAATGTTTTCAGTGGACTCTGATGGAAAAATCCTTTGGTCGACCAAACTTACTTTGGACAATGGATAATGGCTAACTACCAGTATTTCTACACCAACTTGTTTTCCACCTATCCAGTGTGGGGCACTTGTCTTAACAAATTTTCCCTCTCATGTGAAAGCTCTCTCAACATTGACTATCAGTCTATCACTCCCCATCTAAAGAAAGTTTTTAAATACCAACTAGTGGCATGATCTTAGGCCCCACTTAAACCATGTGATGCTTGTATGAGAATTATTCACAACCATTAAACATTGGTCGACCTTAGTTGAAGCTAGCCAAAATTCTTTTTTTTTTGGGACTATTAGGCCAATTAAGGCAGACTCGCACACACATCGCATACACAAGACTCGAACTCAAGACCTCTTAGTTGATAGCTAAGCTCCTAACCAACAGGCCAAGATCATGTCTCGCCAAAATTCTTGATAGCCATAAATTTCATGAATCATTTTACCTCAGCTAAACCCACAACCATAATACAACATATTGAAGATTGTAGCTCAAAAGATACCAAAGTTAGTAATGATATACTAGTGGTCAAGCATGTTTTCAATAGTAAGGTGGGTGAGAACCAAGAACTAGTATTTTACAACAATATATTTTTCATATGTTTGTTTTGAGGCTAAACTCAATATTCTTACAAGATTTAACAACTTAAGATACCATAAAACCTTAGTAAAATCATTAGAGTTATTTTACAACTCTTACAAATTAGGATGACATAACCCGAAATTAATCATAATAAAATCACCAAGGTTTGGATAACCTTAATAAATTTATTATTATTTGGTGTAACTCTGATAAATTAACTCGAATTTCAAAATCAATAAATATTTTAAGCACCCTTATTTATAAAAAAGATTAAAAATATATAAAAAATAATGAGTGTTAAGGCTCAAATTTGATGTTGATGAGATTTACGCTCAACGCGTTGACAATAACATTAAAAAAAATTTACCAACTAAACTAGTGGGCGATCATAAAAAATTCAAAAACACAAAATTAATTCTCTTATCATCCATAAATAAATCAAATTAAGGCTTCGTTTGGGACAACTTTCTTGTTACTTTAAGAAGCAACAATAAAGCAGTCCTAAACGAAGCCTAAAGCAACCTTCAAACAAATTCCCTTAACTAAACATAAGGACAAAATCATTACCTTCAAAATTCATGTGTGTTTAAACGTTGAGCAAATTTAATCGTAATTATTAAATATTAGCAACTAATGCGCTTTAACACCCATCTTTGTAGTGGGAGCCAAGAGCCCCAACCACAGAGTCTTGAGTGTGTATGTGCTTGAGAAAACAAGAGAAAGAAAGGACCTGTTGCGCCTCTACAGGTGCTTCTCCTTTCATCAGTACACGGCTTCCAGCTAGATAGAACCAAAGAAGTAATCAGTACTGATTTGCCGAGTACGAATTGCTAACACAAAAAAGAGAAAAGAAAAAAAAAAGTAGTATATTATAGATATCAATTCCACACCAAAGGAAACATGGCAGAACAGGAATAGCAGCATTGTGAGAAGAGGAAGCAAAGGTTTTTTCTGATCCATTATATGAAGAAAGCTTCTTTTCTTGGCTGGAACTTTATCGTAGAATGGAATCATTCAACTTCTTTGGTATGCAAAGCCAAAGTGGGGAGGTTTTGGAGCTTTATATAGAGGAGAAATACAAACCGCCAGTACAGTCAACGTAAAATTTATTACTTTGAGGAGCGAGCTCATTTGATTATTTTTTTCTTTTTTTACCTTGAAGCCAACGCCACATGTTGATGCCCCGGAGCCTTGAATTGAGATATTACTGTTGTTAAGGCACAAGCATCTAAAGTTTTGGATTTAGCTTCATATTAAAGAATTATAAAGTATATTCAAATGGAAGCATCAATAAGTGATGAATCCATGTGATTAACCGAGTTCTCGTGCATAATATGATGAAAGGTGTTTGAGGGGAATGGCTGATTTGAAGAGCACACTTAGGAGGGAAAGATTTTTAGAACATATAAAGTTTTAGATTTAATCTCTCATCACTTAAAAATAATATTTATTTAAAAATACCAAGCGAGCATCTCTTGCTTATAAGCTGAAGTTTTAGAATAAAATTAAGTTTAATTACTAGTGTATCTAGGCAAGTTTAATAACCCATTGATTCCTACTTCCTAACTCTTATCTTGTAAGTTAATGGATAACTGGAGACATTAGGGTGCTAATATTTTTTACTGTTTTTTCATCGTTTTTTAAAAAATTTTGTAGTGAAAAGTTATTTTTTTACAATCAGAGAAGCTAAATTATTTTCCCCGCAACAATTTCACAACTAACTTTATAAAAAACTATAGTTGTCTAAATCAGACTCTAAGTTATTAATGCCAATCTTGATGTAAACATAATTTTTAAATTGAGACATGCAAGATACTCAAGATAATCTTTATTTCTACATATTATTTTAAAACAATAACATTATCACTACATTTCATATTAAAATTTTGATAGTAATCTAACTCTAATAGAAAACTTTCCTTGCATTCAATTTCTATGAAGGACAGATTATTTTTGTTGTGGACTGGAACATTCGCAACAATAGAGAGATAAATAGCTTAATGTCTTAGCTTTGAACGAAGATTCAACACACATATAAATAAAAAGAGAGGGGTGTGAGAGTTATAAGAGACACTAAGATTTTTACTTGAAAATGGGAAAAATCAAGGGGCCTAACACAATTAAAATGATTCCACTAGTGTTTATAGTTGATTACAAATGATGTCCTTCCGCAGGGGGAAAACATTGACTCAATGTATTATATAGAGCACATTACATAGTTGGGGTTAGAAGAATCCAATGATAAGAGACATTCTCAAGAGAATGTTGGTCTGCTCATTTGATTGGCGGGGCGGTATTTGGGCAATTGAGATCAGAGAGACTGTAGTTGGCGGGTGATATGGTTGGAGGAATCGCAGTCGGCAAGCAACAGTGGCTAGAGGGAGCGTAGTCGGTGGGCTACAGTGGTCAAAGGGACCGTAGTAGACGGGCAATGGTGGTCTGAGAGATCGTATTTGATGGGCAACGGAGGTTGGAGGGACCGTAGTCGGTGGGCGACAAAGGTCAGAAGGACCGTAGTTAATGGGAGACAGTGATTGGAGGGAGGACTGTATTTGATGGGTGATGGAGGTCAGAAGCATCATAATCGACGAGCGAGAGTGGTCGGAAAAACAGTAGTAGGCAGTCAATGGTTGTTAGAGAGACAGTAATCGGTGGGCGTTGGTGGTCTGAAGGACTGTAATCGGCTGGAGACTGCGGTATGAGGGATCATAATCGACAGGTGGTAGAGGTCGGCAGCCAGGGGGAAGTTCGACGATGGCAAGCGAAAGTCCTGCGGTGGCCGGTCGGCAGCTGGGTGGAGATGCAACAACGGTCGGCATATAGGTGGTAGTATGGTGGCTATCAGTGGTTAGGAGTTGGTTTGATGACGGTCGAGCGAAATTCCGAAGGCAGTCGATGTTCGGGTGGTAATCTATTACCTGTCGGAGGCCGGGTGGTGGTCTATCAATAGTCGAGCAGAAGTCCGGCTACATTCTATGCCCGAGTAGAAGTCGGCGTGGATCGGCGACCGGGTGGTGGTCCAAAGATGGTTGGGAGGAAGTCCAATGGTGGTCGGCTACCGAGTGGAAGTCCAACGGGGGTTGGAGGCTGAGTGAAAGTTTGACGGCAAGGCGGTAGTCCGGTGATGGTAGATGAAGGTTTGTCGTTGGTGGTGCTGGAGGTCTTGAAGCTTCGGAGCTCTCTCCAATCTCCAGCCAAAGGTCCAAACTCCAAGCTCCCCTTTCATGTGATAAGTGGGGGTCTATTTATAGTTTTTTTAGAGTGGTTTACCCCATAAATATGGAGAAAAATAGAGGCAGATTTGGAGTGCTCCATCGGATGGCCCATATTGATCTCCTCGACATTGAGCATTTTTTAATCATTTATGTGCCCAAATTATGTCAAAATTAAGCGATTTTGTGCTCATTGGATTTGACTCGTCGAGTCCATTGATTCGACTATAAGCATGCTATATTTGGATATAATATGGTCATCTAATTTAGGCTTTGAACCTTTCAATTAAGTTTCGGGCCTCCGGTTTGGGCCTATTTGGGCTCTGATTGGACCAATTTTGGTGTCGTTGGGTTCGTCTCTTTGAGACTTTCAATTTGACTATAGGTTTGCTAAAATTGGAGTTTAGATGACAACAAATTTAATTTTTGAAGTTTCCAACTTGAATATTCCTCAAAATTTGTGCACGATCAAAACGATTTTTGGTAACGTATCAATCTTATTTGTTGGTCTAGAGTTTTATCTTGATCTTATAGGTAAGGGCAATATTTTTAACATCTGAGTATATCTGTTTCACGATTTCTCACACTTCCTTTGTTGTTGCATGACTTATTTTAGGCCCATTGGAATGGAGAATCATGGAGTTTCATAGTCATGACATGATCATGGAGTCTCATATATCCCATAATATCAACTAAGGTCTTTAAGATTCGATGTATGATCAATAAGGTGGTGAAGTTTCTCTTCTCCTTCTAGAAAGGTCTTAGCAATATGAGACCAAATCAGAAAATTTCTTCCCTTCAGCGGATATGATGTTTGTAACCATTGAGGTTTTCTTTTAATTGCATTATTTTGATTGATAATTAGTGGCTATTTGTAAATTTTTACATGGTATTTTCATGGATTTTTTAACTCTTGCATGAGATAAATTGGACTACCATCAGACCGTTTGCTCCGGACTTGATATTCCAAATATTTGGCCGGAGTCGTGACAAGTGTTAGGCAAATCATCACATGGAACTAGCAGAAAACAAAGGATGCAGTAATGGACTTTGAGGCCCGCCACCAGATGGTGTTCCCAATATTAAAAAGAAATAAAGAAGAGCTTGACAATAGAAACATCAAAAAAGGTATGTGATCTTATGAGAAATCCAAGTCTAGAAATCAGTTACCTCACTCATTAACTTGTGAGACTTGGAATTGGCCACCAGCTAAGGATCTGGAGCACCCAGTCCATCTTCCCGTGACTTGTTCACTCCATTGTGGTGACGCAACTGACCTTTGTCTGTTGGTTGGAAGCTTTGACTTTCAACCAGGGGCGGAACCGGCCTTAATTCTTAGGAGGGGGCAAATTTATAAATAATACCTCTCACAATGTGTTTAATTCTGCTATGGGCAACCACCTAAAGATAATAGTATTTTAATTTTTTTAGGCGGGACAATTTCCTAAGAACTCCTATAATAAATAGTAAAAAAAGGATGGAGGGAATAAATTACCTAAATATCCATTTTTTTTTAATTTTTTTAGGGAGGGGATGCCCCCTCGGGGGCAAGGTGGTTCCGCCCCTGCTTTCAACCAAAAGGTCTTGGGTTCGAGTCTCGCGTATGTGACGTGTGTGTGAGTTTGCCTTAATTGGCCTAAATGTCCCAAAAAAAAAGCTCCATTGTGGTGTATGGCGTAGCTTTCCCATTTGCTATGAATGCAAGACAATCTATATTAGCTTTCCCATTAGCTATATTAGTATAACTATGACTCCTTTTTGTTCTCTTCACTGACTCAATTAGTTTGAACGCTAATTATAAATATTTATGAACAAATAAACAAACTAGAATATTCGCCTACTTGTTTATCTGTGGACACAATAATGTTGATTTGTTCAAACAGTCAGTGCCATAAAGTTGATTATAAGTAGCTTATTGTCTGTCTACCACCTAGTTTCAGTAAATCATCTGGTCTCCTGGCTAAATCTTTGCTCACACTTAATTGTCCCTTTGTTCAGAAGATCTAATGTAGAATTGCGTAAAGCCAATAGCTCAAAAGCATGGATTCCTTCTAGGGGAGTTCCAATCTTCTCAGCAGACATAGCAAAAATTCCCAAGTTTCTAGCAAGTGAGATAAGTGGCAGCAAAAGGTAGTAAATATCTGAAGTTATCAAAGTTGGAACAGCATTCCAAGCAGCCTAATGGATGGTAGTGCTGGCTGAAAATGTGAGTAGATGTGACTAATAATTACTTCCACTAGAAACTCTACAGTGTTTGGAATTATGGAAGTGACCACTGAAAATTTTAGAAGCTGATAGAAGCTGAAGTGGGAAATCCTATAGTTTTAAGCACTAAGATTTCGCATGTGCTTGCTCCTCACCGCAGGATCATACTCGTCAGCATGACCAATAACATTAACAAACTTGCCCTTCCACTGTTTCTAGTGCCTGCTGCAAAATTGAAGAATGTGGAAGCTAATGGATAGAAGCTAAGGAGGGAAATCCTATAGTTTTAAGCACTAAAATTTTGGATGTGCTCCTCACTGCAGGTTCATACTCATTGGCATGACCAATAGCTTTTTTGAACTTGCCCTTCCCCTGTTTCAAGTGCCTTCTGCAATGACATCCCTAAAAGCATGCTCGAGCAAAACATGAGTTCATCAGTAAATGGGCAAAGAAAGAGTTTTGATCTTATGTGGGGGATAATCGTTGGATCGTTGGAAGAAGATGATGCTTGAAAGATTTTCAAAAACAAGAGAACAAAGTACTAAGCTTCAATTCATATAATATTCATCAATGACCCTCAATTCTTCTTACATTTTCTATATATAATATCAAGTAGAGAAACCTAGATAAGCCTAGAGAAACCTAGAAGATTCTAGAAAACATGAAACAAACTTGTAACAACTACATAAGATATCCTAGGAAATCTTTTAAGCTAAAATGCCACGCATCATTCTCCCCTTGTGTCAAAAGAGCTAGACTCCATCGAGGCGTGTTATAGAGAGGAAGATAGATGTATAAATTATAATCAATCCACCTGGGTCGAAGACTTTACATCTCGGATCCATTGCTTCTCTTGTCCTAATTAAATCACTTTGGAATGCAACAAACCTTAGAAGATGAAAAGCAATACCCTGATGCCATGCTTTAATAAGGACTGCATCATCTAGATTTCTCCCGATGTGCACGAAGACAATTAGGACTTCCCGTTTCTCTAGAGTATGCAAATTAAGACTTCGTTTGGGATGGCTTTCTTTCTGCTTCTTAAAGCAGCCTTTTAGTACAAAATTAAAAACTTTTGTACTAAAAAGCTACTTTATGAAGCAGAAAGAAAGCCGTCACAAACGAAGCCTAAGTTATGCCCCTAACTGTGAAAGGAATCTCACAAGACCTGATAGCTCAAAAATTAAATTGTTATTATGAAGAAAGGTGAGATCAATATTGATAATTTCCTTAATTCTTCTCATGTTTTTGATGGAAGAACCATCAAAAATTTGCCAGAGAAATATTTGTGAACATAGTGGGCTTGCTATCCTCAAAACATTATTGGATTACTTCTAAACTAATTAGATTGGTCACATTAGAGCACATGCATATAAGTATCATGATAGAAATTTGATTGCGCCACTTGCAAGACAATAACCAAAAATATAAGGGAAAGAATTCACTAAAAGCAAGGCTCTCGCTTACACAAGAAGATAACCTCTCCCATAAGTTTTTAAGTCTCTCATTTGATCAATAAACTGAATACAAGAAGTACAAGAAATAAGACATCCAATTAGTAAATTTATTCAATAATTGTTGTGCTTTTGTATATGCCTCTAACTCCCATTTATAATTATAAATTCTGATAGAAAACTCTCAATAATCATTCATAAATAAAAATACTCTATCGTAAAAGAGTCACTAAGAAAAAAACTATTAAAGGCTTGATCTAGAAGAATGAAAACGAGCCACATAAGTAGAATTATTGAATACCATATAAAAGCTACAAAGGAATCACTGAATTAAAAATCACAAGAGGAGACCACTAAAGAAGTGAACGAATAGAAAGTCAAAAGAGATCACCAAGTAAATCATAAAAGGAAAACCTAATTTTTAAACCGAGCGCCATATGACTAACTTGATCAATAAGTACAGAGAATCTTGAAAACAAAGAACTTGGTAGAAAGCTGCACTCAGACTTTTTTAATCAATCTACAATATACCTCATGATTTATTAGTTATGCACTTCTAAATAACTTCTTTAAAATCCTATTTACTAATTTCTTAAAACAGCATTTTCATCTTTCTTCAATGTCCTTATTTTAAAATAGGATTTTATTATCTTTATTTCTGGTGCATTTTCCTTTATCAAGATCTCTATATTCCTTATTTTTTGTTTCAGGAAGGATGAAGAGAAAAGAAGCAGCTAAGAAGATGTGGACAAAAACGACAGACTTGAAGTACCTATGTTGACACTTACCAAAGACTTCGGCTTCGTTTGGGACAGCTTGCTAAAGAAGCTTTTTTGTACAAGAATTTTTAATGCAAGAAAATTTTCAACTAAAAAGTATTTTTAAAAAAGTAATAAAAAAGCTATCCCAAATGAAATCGAAGTCAATCGACATTTTTGCTAAGTTGTTCATATTCCCTACTTAAGAACAAAGAGGCCAAATGGGAAATAAGGCTCCAATTTGACCCAAAAAAGGAGAAAAAAAGCTTCATTTTTTCTAAGTATAAATACCCAAATACAGAAGAAAGTTCAGAAATTTTAGATGATAAAGTGATATAAGAGAAAAGGGTGCCATCTAAGAGGAGAAGGAGGCAGCATCGACAATTAGTTATCGCATGGAATATGATGGTGACAACTCAGTTGCAAGTGAAGGCCGATAGGTGTCAGGAGTAGGGACAGAACCAGCCTCTCTTTTTAGGGTGGGAAAAATAAGTTTGTGAAATTCAAATCTTATATATGAAATAAAAAATAATTTTTTTATTAAAATTTGGATAAATGTATTTATTAAAGGTAGGCAGAATAGTTAAAGTGTTTATTTTTCCAAGGAAAAAAAAATTCAGCCATCCTGAGCTCTTTCTGGTTTTGCCCATGGTTAGGAGAGGGTGTGCATGGTAGATTATGGCAATGACGTAACTAAGGCTGCTTGTGGACTCATTACACATTTAATACATGAGTATGGCATTTTTAATCCTCTCTATCATCTTGAATGAAAAAATGATCATCACACTTTAGTCAAAAGTATGTTATATTCTACTAGGTCGACCTTGGCAATATAATCATAAGACCATTCACAATCGAGAGAAAAAATATTTACACCCTGACCCAAGGAAACAAAGAGTTCACCCTATATCCCCAAAAGAATGTTTCTAATCCTCCAAGAAAAAACTGTCCAAACAACCTTAAAGCCATCCACTCCTGAAGTGCTTCTCAATACAAATGAACTTAAAAACATCGAAGTGATCAATCTTGTGGTTGGAAAAGAGACTGAAGTAAACAAAAAATTCAACCTCTGATCAACAAATATGAAGATATAACTCCTGAAGATTAACCTGATTCCTTGCCTCCTCTAAGAGATATTCAACATTGATATATTCTCAAAAAATTATCTTAATCAAGCACGAATCTCGAGGCAGAATCGAACCGGAAACTTCAAAAATTAAATTCATGAGCATCTGAACTTTGATTTCAGCGAGCTTACAGTCAAACTGAGCATCTCGGAAATACGAACCCAACGACACCAAACTCAACTCAATCCGAGTCCAAATGAGTCTGAATCGAAGACTCGAAGTGATGTTGGAAGGTTCGAATCACAATTTGAGTTACCAAATGGTCTTCGATTTTAACGAGCTTACACTCGAATCGAACGGCTCGACGAGACGAATCCAACGAGCCCAAGATCACCGAATTCTGACATCACTAATCGTATATCTCAACACCTCTTTACTATTCTTTTCAAAACAAACATGCTAACCGGACTTGAAAGCTTACTTAGAAATAGGAAAGTCGAACGATCACACTTCAATGCTTTGCATATCTTGTGTAACATAGGCTCAACCAATAAAAAATAAAATATTGTGACAAATTTTAATAACTCACTCCCATGAGCTCAGCTCAAAATAAAGTGCAAAGTGCACTATATTGTTACATAAACCACACACAATACAACAGAACAAGCTTAACACAAAAAGGACATCTATATTAAGTTATTAACCATCAAGAATTCGTTGTCTAGGAGGTCTAATATTTCAATCTCCCAGTCTTAAGGCTATCTGAACTGTGCATGTCACAGAAGTTTTAATGTCCTAAAGGAGAACAACCTCCCAAATCAAATTGGATACATTTCAATTCAAGAAGTTTAGTTCAGATTCCAAACTCAACCTCAACTCAACTTCTTCACACGCCAAAAGCAGTACTCTAGTTAAAAATTGCTTTCCATCACATTGATGGATTTCACTTTATCACATCATCTTCATGATGCAATTCACTTTTGCATTAATCACACAAAATTCTAAACAAACAGTTCTCTAAAACCTGCAACGAATCGTGATTTATAGCCTTTAGTTGTTTCACAAACTTCTACAAACCATTTCAGCCAGTCAATTTGTCAAACATGATGTGTGCAATCCTAGTGCTGTAGTACAAATAAAAATTTCTAGCAAGGAATCGACTGGATGCTAACATTAAGATGAAGATCATTAGAAGAATATTATAATACAAGCAAAGATTGAGAAAGGAAATAACTTTTAAGACAAATAACAACTCCGAAAATCATATAAATACTATGGTAAAATTATTTAACGAACACTTGCCGGTTTTATAGATACACCATAAAGGCGCCGCCTTTAGAATATAGCACTAATCATTTTTAAGAAACTCACAAAACTCTAAATTTCTCACTTCACTGGGCTATTCCTAAGCCATCAAAGAATGTCCAAATTTTCTTTGTTCTCTCATAATTTTAGTTGGCAAATTAATATATTGATATATACTATTAAAACTTAATTGTCATATCTTAATTATATAACACAAATCACTAATTTATAAGGCTTCGTTTGGGACGACTTTCTTACTACTTAAAGCAAATTTTTAGTACCAAAAATTAATTTTTTGTACTAAAAATTTGATTTAAGAAACAGTAAAAAAATCGTCCCAAACGAAGCGTAAATCTCACATAGTGAAGTTTCTTTTATTTAAATAATTTCATATTTTAAAATATTCCATGAAATTTGATTAGTCATTATATTTTTCCTAATTCATAATGTCACATAATTTATTATATGATGATAAATGCTCCCAATTATATTCTTCAAATTTTAAAATAAAAATAAATTCAATAAAATGATATTCTCTAACACGCTTGTTTGAAATACTATTTTGATTTTTTTTTTTCTTTTAAAGTAATATTTAGTTATGCCCATATTTATGTTAGTTTTAGCTTCAAATTTAAATTATGGATTGTGATATATAACACCAGAATTACATATAAATCATATTTAATCTATTCATATGATGGTTTGATTATTCATCGAACATGTAATAATAGTTGGATATTATATACAAGCTTTAAGTCTAACTGTACTAATATCTTTGATCAATCAAAATTATTAAATATTTCTAAGATATCATATCTTATATTAAATATTCCATGTAATTAATAATAAAATAACTTAAATTTTTTATTTGAGATTATGTGTGCATTGATTTTAATGATTTTAAAAAAGAATGAATGATATTAAACAAAATTGATTGCTTAACAAGCATGTAAAGATATGGGTTTAAGATATTATTCAAGAAAAATTGGTGAGAATAACATGCAAATATAATAAAACGACGAGCTTAAATAAAAAAAATAAAAATTTATATTGTTCAATATATAATAATAATGACTTCATTTGAACATATTTTTTTTATTACTATTTCTCCAAACAACTTTAAAAAAAAAATTAAAATTTTATACTTAAAAGTTTTTTTAATCAGAAGCAATAAGAAAAAGCTTTTCCAAACGAAGCCAATATCTCACTCTCTTAAATAATTTAATAATACATTATCTTATGTTATAACATGCCTCCATGTTTTTAGATTTAAAAAGCTAGCTTATCAAAACTAATAATAAATTTTATATCTCAAGAAGAATGTCAACCTATGGATTATATTTATTCAGTAGATTAAAAAAAAATCATAATGATGGTCTGGTTTATAGGATTAATTATTAGGCCTTAAATTTTTGTATTATGGAAACAAATAATATTACTTCTTTAAATAAGTAAAAAAATAAGACAATAAACAAAGGATCTATCATTTTAGGTAATTATTTTTGCTCTTATGATATTATAAAGAATGTAAAAAAACCATTTAAATTCATTCCAAATTTCATTTTCTTCATTGAAAACCATTAACTTCGATTGTCTCACAATAGATGGATATGAAAGCTCTATTCCCCTTTCTTCCTGCTAAAAAGTCTAAAAGTAGGAGAAGAGATAATGCTCAAGGAAGCCAAATATATGGCTCTCATGCACTCATAGACCAAACTTTTTAAGAAGCTGTGGTGGAACATTTGTCAATAGTGGTCACCAACTATTTTGGAGTACTGTAATTTATTTTAATTCCATTGATCTGTTTTCCATTAAAAGTCTAACTAATAAGGGTGTTTTACTTTTTATTCTCTCCCATACAGTATAAGTATTATATATTTTATCCACATTTTGAAAAAAAAAAAATTACTTAGAAGATAAGAAGAAATAACGCTATTAAAAAATGGATTTTTCGTGACAGATGTTAGGAGCGGTTTTAGAACCGCTGCTAAAATACTTTTTAGCATCGATTTTAACCGCTACAAATTGCACCGGTTTTAACTGGTGCAAATAACACATCTTTTAACTGGTGCAAATAGCATCCCTTTTAACCGCTGATAAAGCCCAGCCCTTAAAAAAAGAATCCTTAATTGTGCTGCGATAGTCCTATTTTTGATAGTGTAAGATTACTATTTAGTTAAATAAGAGTAATTTAAGTACAAGATGATTGCTAAAGTTAGGATTAAACTACTTCATTTGATTTTAACTTCACCATTGTAGTCTTCTTATCCATTTACAGAAAGAAATTGTAAATGAAAGAATAATGAAATTAGCAATGAAAATTGATTTGAAGTGTACAAAGGAGATATATTTTAGCAGGGATATAGAAATATTAAGAGTAATTAAGTACAAGATAGAGTTTATATCATATTTTCCCAAATAAAAAAGTAGCATATATAGTTATTTACTTATGAGTGTTTATGAGTTATGTGAAGTAAGAAAAAATATATAACAATAACAATAGGGGTGTCAATTTCGGATCCCGGGTCGAGTTCGGGTTAAACCTAAAACTGACCCGGTACTATTTGGGTCAACCCGAACCTGACCCGCTTCAGGTCTGGGTCAACCCGACACGATCCAAATGACCCCGTGCGAACAAAAAAATGCTAGTTTTCGGGTCCAAAGACAGGTCAATCTCCACTTTCCGGGTCAAAAACAGGTCCAAAACTTGTCAATCTCGAGTTGCCGGGTCAAAAATAGGTTTTCAGGTAAAAAACAGGTCAATTTCGAGTCAAATGGTCAATCCGAAACCAACCCAATTTTTGAAACAAGTTGAATTGTTGAACCCGAGCTCGAGCCATTTTGGGTTCGGGTCTAACCCAAAATTTTCAGGTCGGGTTCAAGTCAGGTTTTCGAATCGTGTCAAATATTGAATAAAAGCACCATTAAGCCTTTATCCCACTACATTGGTCAGCAATATGAGTTATTTTTTCTCCATTGTGTTCTACTTAAAGTCAATTTTCAATTTAAATCTAATAAAAATATCATTTCTAATATTTTCTAACCAAGTCTTTTTAGATCTACCTCCACCTTTCTTAGTCTAGGCCAAATCTAACACATCTACTCTCCTAATGGGTCAACAGAAGGAAAACGTCATTTTATGTGACCAAACCTTCCATGACGACTCTCTCTAATCTTATCTGCCACTAGAGTGACTACATATGTATACTCCTTTAGCTTTCTACCTCTAAGAGTAAAGAAACTCACCCACCTAAGCATCCTCATCTCTACTTTGCTTTACTTAATTTTATGCTACTTTTTTAATGGTCAACATTTTACACCATAAAACATCACATTTCTCACCATCATTTTATAGAAATTTCTCATAAGTATGAGGGGTACTTTTCACACAACAGACCCGATGCATTCATCCGCTTCAACTCCAACTCGAATTCTACTAATAATATCCTCACCTATTTCACCATCACTTTTAGCAATACACCGTAGATATATAAAACGTGTACTATTTTTAATCACTTGATCGCTCAAAGTCACAATCCCTCTACTAGATCTGCAACAACTAAAATTACACTCTATGTATTCGCACGAAGTCATACACACACAAATATTATCATCTTATTTCGAGCTTTTTTATTTGATCTTGGCTTAACATGCTTTTGGCTTTAAACGAATATGATAGATATGTCATGCCATATAAATTCTGACATTCTTATCTGTTTGTGCATTTATATGTGGTTTAGTTTTAATTCTATTAGGTTCAGTTCTTTTAAATGCTTAGATATTCTCAACGAGAAACTTAAGACAATTTCACTATAACAGCCTTAAAATATCAAAACCAGTTAAAATCTACAATGAACTTCGAAAAGATAAACTAAATACGC